GATTTCGCTGTCTTTTGAGGACAGGCACGTCAAACATAGCAGCCTGGACCGGATGCTCAATGGGCATTAGCCACAGGACTCCACAGCAAGCAGAACTTCAATAAAGATAGCAAACAGGACGTACGTGGAGAGCATGTCTAGGCTACCTTGAAGTCCAACGTAGTGATACACAATCCAATATAACGTTGCAGTAACCAAAGGTGGCGGGTTCCATGGTACTCCCGTTGTTCGCCTTTCCTGTTTATTTTTAACTTTAGGTCGTTGGTCGTCATCCCATCATTTGCGCATGCTTCGTTGAGATACAAATTGAAGAGTGTATGCATACTACAGCGCTTGGCATTTTCTACAGCACAGAGTTTACCGCTTGACTTGAGGCTAAGGCGTTGGGGCGGGTTCCATGGTACTACTATTGTACACCTTTCCTGTTTATTTTTAACTTTAGGTCGTTGGTCGTCATCCCATCATTTGCGCATGCCTCGATGAGATACAAATTGAAGAGTGTATGCAAACTACAGCGCTTGGCATTTTCTACAGCAGAGCCTGCCGCTTGACTTGAGGCTAAGGCGTTGGTTCATTGTATTAGGTCAGGTTGAAGTTGGGATAAAAATGCAAACCTTCGCCAGAAGAGGAAGGTGTGTGTGTGTTGTCTGTCTGTCTGTCTGTCTGTCTGTCTGTCTGTCTGTCTGTCTGTCTGTCTGTCTGTCGTCTGTGTGTCTGTGTCTGTCTGTGTCTGTGTCTGTGTGTGTCTGTGTCTGTGCCTATGCCTGTGCCTGTATGTGTTTATTTGTGTGGGTGTGAGCGTGTCCGGGTTGGTTTGTGCAGGTGGGTGTCGGTGTACGCCGCAGAGCGATGATAGTGTGATCAACGCGCGAGACAGCTAGTACGTACAGGGTAGCGCTTAGATGCGTGCAACTTGCAGCTTGTAGCAAGCTTGCATCTTGCTGCCGCGGCTAAGAAGCACACACAGCTGCCCAGCAGCCACAGTTGCGAATCGCGTTGGCGGCAGTCTTTGGCTCTTTCAATTCTTCGCCACGGTAGTGGCTAGTGGTTAGCAACCTCCTTCTTTCGTGTGCCCAATTAACTGTTTTAGGTCTTGCGGGATTATCTAGAAAAGTCCAGTTTCCAGTTTGGTGTGAGGCAGACAGGCTGCTCGCTGCTTGAAGACCGAAACGGCTTCTTCCTGCAAGATCTAAAGCCTTGTAGGCAGCACTACAAGGGTTTTGAGAACCACAGCGATGCAAGCATGGTGCAGAGAGTGCGTAGATGTTAAGGAATAATTCTTAGCAACGTGGTCTACAGCCTGCAAGCTCACACGAGCGACTGACAAAAGTACTTGGCAGCCACTACATCTGGGTACATTGCTAGCCTTGTTCGGCTTTATCGCTTCATTGAAACACCATTATAGCATCTGCCTGCCCATGTGTCCTGCCATGACACTGGTCCAAAACACCCATAGTAGCGCCGGTTTGTCACATTTTCATGCACGGGGCCACGTCGACACGTAGTGTAGGAGTTTCTTGCCGCCCAACTAGAGAACTCGGTGATATGTTGTGTGTTCCCTGGATCCACTAAAGCGACGACTGTGGCAACCACCGAAACTGATGGGCATTGCATCGCGTCATTGATCTGCTCTGTTACTGGTTTTTGTTCAAGCGCTACTGCGACTACTGTTCATACAGAAGATTCTTTTGTAGGGATGTGCAATGGGCCAGTGTTCTTACCGAGGTGTCTGAAGGAAAAAGGTACGCAGATTAGCCGGTAATGGATGGTGTACCGGCAGCCTGGAGTGCGTAATTTCAGACGAATCATAATGCAGCAAGTATGTCTACACTGCAGGTTAGATATCGCCTACTTGGTTCTACCAGCAATTGGAGCTGCGCGTCTTACCAGAGCTCCGCAGAGGGTGCGGCAATCCGCAGGGTGTGTGTGTGTGTTTTCTGAGTAGTATTGACTGCCTTTGGCTTTTATTATTCCTCATGAGCACTAGAGATTTTCCGCCCCATTTCACTTTGTCGGTGGTTCTCCGTTGTTGTACTTTGGATTTTACAGGATCGTCCTGGCTTCCTCGCGAAGGTCCAAGTGATTGCTTGGTCTGCAGTTACGGAATGTTGTATGGTCGAAGGAAAGCAACGCAGGAGTCGGAAAAATAGGAGATGCGTTACTTATGGGTATGCATGCAGAACGTCAAGCACAATAATGGAACTACCGGATACAGGTAGTGCGCAATTGGCAGAATCTGAATATGCTTTCCAACCTGGAGAGACGTATACATAATTACGTGCGACAGAGCAATGAGCTTCATCTTGTTGCTTGACTGGCCGCCGCTGGAAGTCCTGTTGTATCCAAGTAGACAGCTTGAGTGTGCCGCATTGGTGCGCGATCGCACAATACTGCGAAAACCTGCTTTATGGGTTTTTACACGAATGTCCAGCGGGGAGCCTGGAATGCGGTGTGGGGTGTGTTTTCTGCACAACGAGGCTGACGAACAGCTGTGGAGCGCAGACCAGTGGATACAGCGATATCTGGCGTATTCTGCGCAACAGGGCTACGGGAGTCTCCGAAATGGTGCGATGTAGTTAGTGCGTGGCATCATGCAGATACTAGCGGCGTTGAGGAAGCGGTAATGCCACAGAGGCGTGAGGCGCTTTTGTACTCTTACTGCTTCTCCAAACCAGGGATCTAATAGGCAGCGGCGCCTTCTTGTGTGGGTAACCATGCTCAGCCTCCGAGATTCGTCAATGCCACAATCGCTGCTCGGCGTCATACCATCTTCTTCGTGCGTCTCGCTGTTG